ATGTAATAAGCACCAAGAAACTAGTCAGCACGTCGAAATACCTCGGGAATGCCAAATATGTAGTCAGCACATTGAAATACCTCGGGAATCGATCGGTCAACTTCGGTCAACGGTCATGATCAATTGTCAATGGTTTTGGTCAATGGTCAACAGTGACGTGGCACTAACGTGGCGATTAACATGGTAAATGATTTGGCAGGTGACGAGGCAGAAGATGTGGACGTGACGTGGCAAACAACGTGGCGGATGATGCAGTGGTGACGTCAGCAACACGGCCGACCTTCTGATCACGTGACGTGGGCACGTGGATCCAACGCACAGAATTGGAAGGTGGCGCATGAGGGCGCATGGGCTGTCTTCTAGTGGCGAGGTTTGGCTTGTCGGATTCTTGGAGAGATGAAGAACCTGGCTGCGGTCTTGAATTGCAAAAATATCTAGCTGATTGTGTCCGAAATTGACTTACTTTGACAGGTGAGTCCAAGATGGCGTTGGCGTGTGGTGACAAATATGGTGATAGTGGCAGTTTGCCGAAACAAGCGGCAGAAGATGCTTTAACAGCAACTAAAGTTGCGTACTTGGTGGAGAAATGAGAGCAGCGCGGCCTATACGGCTGGTGTCGGTCTGCTATGAAGAGCGAACGCGGCCAGTTCGGCTAGCGTTGCCAAAAAAACTTCTCAGGAAAAAGGCTCTAATACCAAGTTAAAAATAAGAATGCGAAAGAGAGAAAATGAGAAATTTCAAATATATTTCCATATGTGTATGATTCGATGTGTAGGTAAAGGGGAATACATGAGTCTATTTATAGGCTTTATAGGTTAACTATCTACGGTAATAAAATATTACATAATCAATTACAATCAATTATAAAGATATCCAGAATATTATATAATCTAAATATTTATAACATGATCAATCGAAAAGTTTATAATCGAATTGGAATCGATAAAATTTGGTTTAGGACTAAAATAACAATTTTCCCACAATATATCACTAGGAATAGTCTAATCAAGATTGGCTAGGCCGTTGATGATGTCCATGAAGTGAACGAACACATCCTTGCTGCTCTCATGGGGCTCCATCATGATTAATACATAATTTTGTTGTAGCACGCCAATCTTGGTCTTTTTCGCGCAATTAGTTCCTTCATAGGTAACCACCAATAGATTCCGAATTTCTTTGGCCGTTTGAGATGACGGAATTCGGTCGAATTCAGCATGGGCAACTACACAATAGAGAACATGCCGTGAACTCATTTTATCTTTGGGAGCACTAGGGGTTTCCCTTATCTTCATTGGTACAAAGGATCCATTTTGCACAGCCACCTAAGTTCGTGGTCCATTGATTGAATGAACATGGCCATCCTATGTTTCAAATGAGAATAATTAGCACCATTAAACAAAGGAGGTTGGATAATCGGTTCGACCTAGTTCCAACAATTATTGGCATCCATCTTTATCTCAAAAGTATAGCACTTTTACAACAAGGAGCCTACTATGATACCAATTGTTAGGCCCAAATAAGAAACCAAAGAGGGAGTATCAATTTGTTTTTAAAGAAAACACAAACTAATTTTGTAAAATTAACCCCAATTAAAATTCTACTTCTTATGAGTAAAGTGAACTAGCAATTTAAACAGTGGAAAGTAAAGAGTATAAAGAAAAAGAAATTGCAAAAGAGATTAATAGAGGCCCGGTGTGGGTGTGCCTACTCCTCTTTTCAAGCTCTAACAGCCCAAATAGGATGAATTCTACTACTCATGCCAAGAGTACAATTACCGCCTCGTTTCAAGTGTAGAACTTGGTGTCGTGCAAGACCTAACTTCCTGCTACAGTAATCCCGCTATGAACTAGGTAACCACAAGACTCTCCAATACTCGTTATACATAGCACGTTAAATCCTCGCCCGAACCTACAAACCACGCCTCTAACCTACAAACCACGCCTCTAAGTATTTACAAGGAGTCCCTTACGCACTTTATCTTTCACCTAGAGAAATGCCTTCATTCAGTACATTAACTTCTCTCTGTGTGTTTACAAGTAGGTTTGTCATAAATGACTTGATTGTCCCGATTCAGTTTCACGTGATACCCTATGTTGCACCGACACCGACACCAACACGCGACACGACACGACACGACACGCCGACACGTCATTTTTCAAAAAGTAGAGAATTCCGACACGTTGGGACACGTTATATATTAAATGTATATTTTTATATATACATGATCAATTATCGTTTTTTAATTATTTTAATCAAATTAATTCGATACAAATTCACAAATAAATAAATAAATAAAATCAAATTAATTTGATAAATTTTATATGACATATTTTATCATGCCGTGTGATATAGTAAAAATTCCTTTGTTTGGCCATATATATTTTTCTCTTGGGATACCCATTTTCGTGTTTTTTTTACTCCCAGTCGTACTGTACTGTAAGGGCTCCCCCTACTGCCCACGTGCCCCCAAAAGATTACCTTTTCTTTCCCCCTCTCTCACCCGCTCGCAATCAGACGAAGAAATCGCAAATTTCCTCCTCGATCCCACCATATTTTTATTTTCTGCCCGTCCAGTTTTTTTATCATTCCTCCTCTCTTTCTCCATCAATTTTAAAAAGCTTTTAAGAAGCTATCGTCGTCGTCTGCGCTTTTGCTTTTCTTTCCCTAGATTCTCTCTCTCTCTCTCACTTCTCCGATCAGATCTCCGGCAGCTCTCGCCGCCGCGAAAACTCCGATTCGCTCAGCTCGCTCATCCATGACGCTCGGCTCGGGAGGATCGGGGGGTCGTCGGTGAGTTCTCAAAACCCTTCCCGACCTAGATTTCCAGATCCTCCCTCCCCGGGGCAAATTCTCTCCCCCAATCCGGACCGATTCCCAGATCCCCCACCTCCCCGTTCCCCACTTCCAGATCAACGGGTGCTCGCTGTCGAAAGGGACCGGGATTATGCGGTATGTGTCCTTGTTCATTGCTCTGGCAAGCGACAGATCTGACGAGGGGGCTTTTCTTTCTTCTTTCTCCCTTTTGCTCCGGACTCGCGTGTCGCCGCCGGCGTGTCCGGCGCGTTGACCGCGTGTCGGATCTCCGACACGGGTTGACCGAGTGTCCGAGCGTGTCCGCCGTGTGTGGAGCGCGTGTCGGTGTCGGTGGCCTCCGGAACGTGTCGGTGCAAATCACATGATTCGTGTCCCTTCATGTCACTCCTCGTCAATTTCTAATTTTGACCATAGTCAGAGTCGCTCTGCATCCATCCCACGTTAGCTTCACTGTTGCGCCATTATAGCGGCCGGTCTAAAGGTCCACCGCGTCAGCGAGCCGTGCTGATCATTGGACAGAACTTGCCCGAGGCATTCAAGGACCTGCCGACCTGGTTGAATCCTATTTGGACCATTTGAGGTTAGTTTTGTGAACTTTTTTTTACTTCTATAATTGAGATTTCCTTGGACTTATCTTGGCTGCTTTATATTCGTGTTACGATGGAGAAAATCACGGACGGATTCAGAAATTTTCAGCAGTGGGAAAACCTAATAAAAATTTAAAGGTAAATACAAATTTATTGATTCAATAGTAAATATATTATTTCTGTGCTTGAAAAAAAAAATAGAATGATTGGTAAAATTTCAATTAGATTTTGCTTAAACTCTGCACTTAAACCTTCATAAGTTATATATCAATTTACTGCAGTTCTCGATCACGGAGGAAAAATAACGACAGAGTAAGAAAATAACTAATTAAAGTGATTTCTCAACAAATTTGTGGGGGCCCTACTGCCCCCAAACTTTATTGATGATTGTGAGCGTATCGATCCTTCGGTTGTCTAGAGCCGATAGTTCTGAATATTAAGCAATTACACGAGCATTTTTATGTTTTTACGATTCAAAAAAATCATACAAACTTGAATAGATGTGTGCTGATTGAAGTACTGTCTGAGTCAGAGAGAGATTGATTTAGGAGATCGGATTAATTGTCCTCCACAATCTCTCATGATCCTCTAGAGAACTCTTCAAAGATGCATCGCGATTTAATAGTTTGGTGCTGGTTAAATGCGTTATCTTATTATCTTGTTTTCCCTTTTACGAAGAACACACACGAAACAGGTAATAAGTAGAAGGCAAATAGTACGCCAGCTCACAACTATACACAAACAACTTTAATGAAGTTTCGTATTACCAGACAAGCCATCTCGCAATTATTCCTCTTGGTAAGGACGTTCATCAAACTTACTAATATTATCTCGCCATCTCGCATTTTCCCAGCCCTCTTGTCTTTAATTCCTCTATTTTGCTATGTTGCCTACATGTCAAGTAGTAGGTATTCGAAAGTTTTAAAGAACAGTTGATTCTTGATTTCCAAGAAAGGTCATAGAGACACGATAATGTATGATCGTTTGTGAATTCTTTCATGGCTGACTTTAAACTTCTTTTTGTTGATGGCTGGGAAAAGAACGTCACTCTTTTCCACTTCCCGCGGTACAACAACCATGGAGATTTTTACCTTTAGAGCGTCGTTCTTGGAAAGCTCCTCGTGGACCCTAAGAAATTAGTTACCAAAGTTTATTTGTTTTCTCTTTTAAATTACCAAATTCCTAAGAAATAAGTGGCGATGACATGACTTTTTTTAATTATTATTTTAATACAAATTCCTCGCCACCTGACTTCTTCTCCTCCTCTTTTTTTTTGTTAATATTTAGCTTACTTTTAAATTTTAATTTAAATAAAATTACTATTAAAATCAAATTTGGGCCAAAACAACGTCGTTTTAGTCTTATATTTCATAAATTAGCCACATCATCGCCACGTAGGAGAGAGAAAATATTAAAATAAGCCATGTCAGCATTTTCCGTTAGTAAGTTAGACGATGTTAATTTTAGGACTCTATTGAACCAATATAATAACCAATATGACAAGTTTTAGGACTTGATTGCACTTTTTGAAGGTTTTATGACTTAATTGCGCTTTCGTGATAAGTTTTAGAACTTCCAATGAACATATCCCAAAAAATAAACTTAATAAGTAACGTTGGTAATCTTAAACTAATTGATAATTTCAACAGAGAAAACTTGGCAAGCCACTCCAATTAAAGCTGGTAATTTCTTAAAAAAGTTAGTAATTTTAAGTATTTGCTAAAAAATATAAATAGAAGTTTGTAAACAACAAGAGAATATTATTGTGTCATGAACTCCAATGCCTGTGGTCCTGGATCACCCACACCACTCGAGTATGCGAATGAGACGGTGGGTAATGTGGATGTGAATCTGAGCAGACTTTAGAAAAGATCCTTCTCAATAGGTTCACGGTCACAACGATAATGTTTTAGAATGCATAAGATAAAGATGACGGCTTAACTCATTTTTGGCTATTTGTCTAGATGACAATGAAATTCTATGTGCCATTAATTGAGAAGCTACCATCGCGGAATTCTATAGTCATAAGGATATGGTCAACAAATGCTCTCAAACTAACTTGTTAGGTAACCAATTGAAGAAGTAAGAAACCTGAATTTAGGGACGCAATCAAAATGGAATTACCCTTTTCAATTTTATTTTATTTTTGAGCTAGGTGAGATGTGCAAACCCCACATGTATAGAGTTACATTTCTCAGACATTTAATTTGATTCTCGACCCATCCATCAGCCTTGGTCTTTTTAAACTCCTAAAGTCTCGTTAATTTTTGCAAATATACTTTGGAATTTGGTGTCGATATGGTACCTTAAATTGATGGGGACTGGCCAACCACTCCCGCTCTCCATAATTTGAGATTACTCGACTTGACTTCTTCTAAATGATGTCGACTTGTGTGGCTTAGGCCATTCCTTAATCCTTCGGTTATATCTTTGCCACTTCTCTTGAACAATGCCGCAACACAATGGAAATGGAAATGGAAACCGACCCTCACTTTCCTACTTGACCATCTCTCGTTGACCCCTGTTCCAAACGGAGTTCTTGCAACTTCCTTGAAATGCATAAGACCGCGATTTCCATCATCCAAGTCTTGTAAAATCACTTTAAAATGTGGTGTGGTTTAACATGTACTTCGACAAGAAAAGCATGACATATTTTTTGTGATTTGCTTTCAGAATTTCGGCGGACATAGCCACGATGAAAAGAAAAAGAAGTTCAGAAACAGGATCTAGTAGAAACGGCACATGTGGAGCTCAGTTTGATGTGTTCTTGAGTTTTCGAGGACCGGATACTCGCGCTACCTTCACAGATTCCCTCTACCATGCCCTGCTAGATAAGGGTATCCATGTTTTCATAGACAAGAAGGGCATCGATGTCGGTGAAGAGATTGGCCCCGAGATTTTCCAGGCCATCGATGACTCGAAAATCTGCATTCCCATCTTCTCTAGAGGCTACGCCTCTAGTAGCTGGTGCCTGCGCGAGCTGGAACACATGATGGCACGTAGAAAAGCATATGGAAAAGAGGTTATGCCCATTTTTTATGATGTGGAACCTTCGGATGTGAAGCTTGAATCTGGAGTGTATAGGGATGCATTGACTCTGCATGAAGAAAAACGTGGGGCTGAGATTGTACGACGCTGGGCGGAAGCACTCCAAGATGTTACTGGAATCAAGGGGTGGGACACCAAGAACACAGGGTATGTTAAACTCTTTCAACTCCATCTTCCCTTTCCTTTGTTTCTTTTGCTTGAATAGCGATTTTAATTTAAAGAGAAATTGTTTTTAATTCGTTTTAGGCCTGCTGAGTGTGTTTTTTTGAGATTGTGGTCGCAAGAAACTTAATAATTTCAATGATTAAAACCCAATTGAAATTGTTTGATGGCTAATTAAAATAATAATTCTGACTTCAAATCAAAAGTAAATGAATTTTAATATGCCTTAACATCTCGAGAACTTTATAAAATTCGAGTAACTACGACAATGCACAGGCAATTAAAAACAAACTACTAAAATTACAAAGAACTTTAATTGAATCAGGACATGGCTTACATTCTTGAATGTCATACTTGCTTGGTGATAGAATTTGAAGACAAACTTCTTATTCGAAATTACTCGAATAGAGAGCATTTATACTCAAAGGCAATTACAAAACTTAGGAAACTTAATCTGTTCGAATTTGAAATTCAAAATATAAGTGAAGATCTAATCCAGACGATCTTCTTCAAAACCATATGGATCCCTTGATTGATGTTGTACGATACCTGTTCAAAGCGTTTGAATTGTCTTAAGAGATATGTCGGTGTGTTGCAGATGATATCTAGAGTTTTTTTTGGTCTTTGATTCCTCCTCTATCTCTAATGGACCATTCCATAATGCATCATAATCTTCCTTGCAATGATAACTCCTTCTTGACTTGCGCTCTTCTTCCGAGATGACTTTGTCATCGCTTTTTATCTTCTCGCTACAGTTGCGCTTTCTTAACTCAAACTTCAACATCTTTTCATGTTTCGAGTCAATCATTCATCGTCATGTGTCTTGATTTTCACTTAAACTTTGTCCATTGGAAATTCAGGATCGATAAGCCCTCCAGAAATTTCATGGATGGCCTTCGTGAGTCAAGTGTATTGTTAGGGTCTTTATGATGGGTGGGCTTCTGTAAGCATTCCATCGAGTGGACCTTATTTGGTTAAGTATGTTCTTATGATTTGGTTTGGGCCATTAACTTTTTTATATTTAGGCCCCAATTTTGGGCCTAGTGTCAATAAGGCAATAAACTAGGGTAACGATCTAGGTTGAACTCGAGAATCGGCCTAAACCGGACTTGCCAGTCCAATTCAAAGCCAATTCCTAGGAGAACCAGGTAGGTTAACGAGTTCAAAACCTGAGAATTGACCATATTCAATTAGTTTCCCGATTTAAGCCTCAGAAATACTAGTTCTATTTTGGGAGTGTCAATGGGTTGTTTTTTGTTTTTCGGAATTGAGCTGAAACTTTGAACGGACCCACTGGAGTGACGTGTTTCGAGCAGTCCGAACATGAAGCTTCATAACACAAACCGGACGGTTTGGAACAGGTTTCGTGCTGAGCCTCCCTAGTTTTCTTGTCCACCTCAGTGGTGCTCGGGAACCAAGTCGGTTCTTGGATTGAATTGGCTTTGGACCGGTCTATAGCTGTTTAATTTTGATAAAATTGCAGTTTAAACTCATGCCCAGGCCACTTTAAACTCAAACTAAGCAAAGCTCACACCCTCACTTAAACTCAACTCACGCCCAGCCCACGCAATGAATCAAAACAAAACTTGGACTTATACAACTAAAACAAAGTAAGAAAGCTAGCCTCCGCCTCTCTCGGTCTGATTTCTCATCTCTCGGCTTTCCCTCAATCTCTCAACGCTCTCTATTGCTCGCCTCTCGGCTCACTTATTATGTGAGGTTATCATATAAGAAGATTGGTTCTTAAAGTTACCAGTTATAATACAAATCGTGAATTACAAGTGTATTTATATAGGGAGTTGAAAAAGGTACAAAACAATAGTAGGGGTCTGGTTCGGTTCCAATATGGTTCTAGGGTGGGTTAGTTCCATTTCCAATTCCAAAAACATTGGAAGTGTTCTCTAGTTCGGTTCCTGGTTCTGGGTTTGGAATTGGACCACCCGAACTGTGCTCACTTCATGATCTTGATCATAACCTTCATTACCCATTGTACCGAATCACTATGATTGAATCGATTCAGAAAGTCATGTATTATATTTTTGCCCCAGTATGTCCTGCATTTTGTGGGCTACTTGTCGAATGATCTTGTCTGTACACATTTTTATTTTCAATCTGATGCTAACTTCATTATACTCTTTCTATTGACATACAGCCATGGAGAACTCACAAGACTAATAGCTCGTAAAGTTTTGGTTAAGCTTAAGGTGTCTCCGGTATATCTGTCTGATCATTTGATTGGGATCAACCAATCAGTGGATGAAGTAACAGAGTTGTTGAGTGTTGAATCCAAGGACATAAGGTTTGTTGGAATATGTGGAATAGGTGGTATAGGCAAGACAACTCTTGCCAAGCATGTTTACAGTAAATTGTCAGTTAATTTTGCAAGTTGTAGCTTTATCCCAGATATTCGACAAGCATCAGAAAGTTCAAGTTTTGGTCTTCTAAATTTGCAAAGGCAACTGGTGCATGATATCCTTGGGGACAAATCGATTGAGGTTTCTAGCATCGATCAAGGGAAAAATATGATGAAAGAACGATTTAGTATAAAAAAAGTTCTTATTTTCCTTGATGATGTAAATCATAGAAGCCAACTTATGGCATTAGCAGCAAAGAAAGAATGGTTTGGATGGGGAAGTAGAATAGTTGTAACAACAAGAGATAAGAGTGTTTTATGTGGATTCCAAGGTCAATTTGAACATTGTTTGATTTATGAAGCTAAGGAACTCGACTATCTCGAAGCTTATCAACTTTTTAGCATGCATGCCTTTAGAAGAAACTCTCCTCCAAATGAATTCCTGAGTCTATCTAAGAAAGTTACTGCAAAAACCGGCGGGCTTCCTCTAGCTATTGAAGTGATTGGCTCATTTTTATATGGAAAAAAGGAAGCAGTGTGGCAAGATACATTGAAAAAGATGGAAGATTGTCCTCATAAGGATGTGAAGGATAAGCTAATGTTGGGTTATGAGGCGTTAGATCATCAGCAACGGCAAATATTTCTTGATATTGCTTGTTTTCTAGTTGGAGAAAATAAGAGAAATGCATATTACATGTGGGATGACTGTGAATTTTTTCCAGATGAGGGGATTGAAGTTCTTCTTTTAATGTCCTTAGTGAAAATTACAGAAAAGAACCGATTATGGATGCATGATCAGCTTAGAGACTTGGGGAGGAGCATTGTCCGCCAAGAAAGTTGCAAAGACCCCGGAAAACTTTCTCGGGTGTGGAATCACGAAGAAGGTCTTGATATGATCCAAAGAAAGAAGGTATAATTCTAAGTGCACCCTCCTCTGCTTTGTTCGCTATAGAAATCACCTCACATTGAACTTGACTCTTTTCTCATTTTAGGGAACAAAAACTGTTGTAGCGATTTGTATGAACTTTCGTGGGATAATACCAGCCACAATTTTGACATCAGATGAATTTATGAAAGTACCAAGTATTAGGTTTCTTAGAATGGTTGGTGGGAACCTCTCTGGAGACTTTAAGAATCTCTTTTCAGAATTGAGATGGCTATCTTGGAAGTATGGTCCTTCAGAGTTGCTTGCAACCAACTTTTGCCCAAAAAATCTAGTCATCCTCGACCTATCATGGAGCCAAATAGAATATTTTTCGGGTGATTGGACTCTATTTAAGGTATGTGCAAATTATAAGGTGCAACTTGTTATATTTTCTCGCAGTAACACCAACTCGAGTGTTGCACGGTTGTAGATTGTTATTTTATTGATTTTTTTTTAATTTCTAGTTAAATTTTATTGACTCAATTGGAAAAAAAAAAAAAACTTGCTCCTGAAGAATGTCTAAGGGTTTGGTTACATTTTTGTTCCTAAAAATAATTTCTGTTCAGAAATAGTTTTTTCTATTTCTATTCTCTATATGAGTTTCTGAGCAGAAGAACATGTTGGGTAACTGCATATAATTTCTATTCCCAGAATAGAATAAAATTGCATTTGGTACGACCCTAAAAATTTCTACTCCCAATTTTTTCATTTAATTATAAAAATGTTAGTAGAGACTTAATAATTCATGTTTGGATAAAACTGGACTAGAAATAGAATTATAATATATTATGATATAGAATTGGATGACCTTAATACAATCATAAAGAAAACTACTCCTTATAGAAAAAGCAAATACCGGGTGGTGGTCGAAAAAATTGCAGTTTAGGGTTTAGGATTTGGGGTTTAGGGTTTGGGTTTGGGGTTTGGGTTTTTAGGGTTTAGGTTTTCAGCTTTGCGGTTTTCGGGTTTGGGGTTTGAGATTTTGGGTTTAGTGTTTCGGGTTTTGGGTTTGGGGGTTTAGAGTTTGGATTTTGGGGTTTAGAATTTTTGGGATTCAAGTTTTGGGTTTTAGGGTTTGGGGTTTGGGTTTTATGGTTTAGGGTTTTGGGATTTAGGTTTTAGGGTTTCGGATTTAGAGTTTAGGGTTTAGTATTTTAAGTTTGGGGTTTTAGGGTTTGGGATTTCAGGTGTAGGGTTTTAGGGTGAAGGTTTTGAGTTTTACGATTTTAGGGATTCGGGTTTTGGGTTTTAGGGTTTCGAGTTTTTGATTTCGGGTTTGGGTTTTGGTGTTTGAGGTTTTAGGGTTTAGGGTTTTAGGGTTAATGTTTAGAGTTTTAGGGTTTCAGGTTTTGGGACTTAGCATGGGAATATTTTGTGAGAGATAGAGGGAAAGAGAGCTTATCTTGTTTCTTTATCATTTCTCTTTTTGTTCCCGAAAACTGAAAAGTATATTTTTTTTTTACTTCTTATATCTGTTCCAAATCTATTCCCTGGCCATTTTTTATTCCAGGGAATAGAAAAATTTACTGACATTACCAAACGGATTTATGTTCTTTTTATATTCCGGAAAATAAAAGAATAGAAAAACAGAGAAACAGAAACATTACCAAAGAGGCCCTAAGATACCAATCCCTCATTCCATAACTGAACTACTTAATATTTAAAAGTTAACCTATTCAATTTTCTCCAGAAGTATATCGAATCAAGCAACTACTTTACCTTTTGGTTGTATGTTTCCTTTACATAGATTAATGTAAGTCAAAGAAGTAAATATATTTCCTTTCGGTAATCCATTTGATGGAATCAATGTATTGCTGCTTAATATCTATTGACTTACAGTACTTTTAAATGACATTATATAACGTTCACGTTATTTTGAGTTCCTTAATTATGCCAATAAGCTGTCCCTGAAAGATGTTTAAGGGTAGTTAATTGAAACATTAAGTAGTGAATAGGACTGATATGCAAAGGGATACGATGCCCAAAACACTAAAGAAAACTTAGCAAAATAATAAGAAATCTGTGAGTGAAATTGAACGTGCAAGCTGGAATAATTTAGTATCTCAGCAGTTAAATATGCTCTTCAAATAACTCATCCGATACCATAAACGTCCAGTAGAAAGGAGTTTCTAATTTTACTCACTTCATTATTGATATTACGCCTTTTAATATCACTACTAGCAACTATTCCTCCTCAAAATATTTCCAATGTTTCGTAGTTTTGACTTTAAAATTAATATCAGTTTTTAAATTCGATTTTGCTGATACTCTCATATTAAAAGAAGTCATAAAAGCTCATAACGTATGCTATTATGTCATAATTTGCATTCACAAATTTTAGTTAGGATTTTTAATTTTCAAATTATGATGAAAACTATAATCTTTCATCACATACCTTAGTCCCCTATATAAATTTTCAATGGTCGGTAATCTTCAAAATTATGATTATCTTAAATTTCAAATTATTATATGTATGGTTTATACTTTGAGTCCAAGTTAATATCATTTAAAAAAAAAGGAGCTTTTCTAAAATTAATTGTTTTCATAATAGATCGTTCATCACATACCTTAATCCCCTATATAAATTTTCGATGATCGGTAATCTTCAAAATTATGATCATCTTAAATTTCAAATTATTAAATGTATGGTTTATACTTTGAGTCCGAGTTAATTTCATTTCAATAAAAAAGGAGCTTTTCTAAAATTAATTGTTTTCATAATAGATGCTATTTATTTTAACATTGTAATATCAATATTCTGTATTATTATAAAGGTTCAAACTTAATTTCCTCATACCAATAAATATTGCAGTATGCAAATTAGCAAAATTTTATTTTCAGATGTTATATAATGAGCTGCGTTGGGCGGTAATAGAAATACTTATGATCTTGATCTCACATACTATATTAGCAATGTCATTGAATATTATTAAAATAATCTATTTGTTAGATAATGGGAAGAAATCCTCCTATTTAATTCAATTTAATCATTTAGTTTTTCTCTTTTGCTCTTAGAAATTATATCTTGCAAAGACAAAAAGGATGAATATGATAGTTTCAATGATTTTGAAAAATCCCAAATCTTGTCGATTATGAACTCTCCCTTTTGTTATATATTGAAAAAAAATAGTCCAAATAAATGATATGTAAATTAATCTAAGCTTAAAATTTCATCAGCAGTCTTATACACGTTAGAAATTAGATATTCAGAGGATGAATTCTAGTATATTAAAGAAAAAGCAAAGCACACTGATGTGTGTGTAAAAATAGAAAATAAATTACTTAACGAAAAAATTGTTATAGATTTAAGGAAGATTAACATCGGGTTGACCTCGTAAATTATTTTTTTATCCATTCTTTAGTTTTGTATAGTTATCGTTCATCCAATTGCATGATCTTCATTGGAAAATTTTTATAAAAGTATTAGGATGAATTCTACTTTTAAGGGATCTCTATCCCTCTTTCTTCCACAAATGCCATAAACTTATTGGTAAAAAATTGTTCCGAGAACAAATGGAAAAATTTTAAAAGATGAAATAAAATAATCACATGTTAAACTTTACATATCTATTGTACTTCATTGACTCCACATTCCTACTCCCCTCTTTACTATTTTTCCTTTTTAAATATAAGCAACTCCACATTCTCAGTTCCCTCTTGTATTTTTACTGACTAAATTTTCCTTTTTATGCATAATTAAACACTCTTAGAATCAATTTTATGCGATATAATCCAAAATTCGAAATACATGCAATTTTACGTGTGCACAAATTCTTGTATAAAAAGATGAGAAGAGAGGTTTCTATTTTTCAGGGATATTTGCTATCCTCTCTCCCCAAGTACCTTAATTAAATCTTAAATGACAAATAAAGGAGGGTAATCATGTAATTTAAGATTTTTTATAGTAATTATGGTAAATTTTTTTGTACTTTCAAGAAAATACTTTCTTCTTCTCTTCCTTATATGCACCTTAAGAAAATCTAAAATTTTTTTTGTTAACAGTGCTCTGAAAAAATTTGCTAAACTTCCAAATAAAAAAATCTTCATTTTCAAAACATTTTTCTCGTATTTTACACAATCAGTGCATTATTAAAGTAAATCTTTGTTCATTACATATGGCTAACAAAGTGCACTGGAGGCACTAATAAGACTTAACCCAAAATTGGATGTACTAAGCGTGTGTTTGATAACCACATTAAGTACTTTTAATAACCTCTAACTCCACACAACTTAATGGATTGTTTTAAGTATAAATCACTTAATATAAAATGTAAGGAAGCGCTTATTTAATTGGTCAAGTGAAAAAAATTTCAATAAAAACTGTAACATTACCAATTATCCAACAATGTTCACTATTCTATATTTTGCAAGAAACAAAAAAAATTTATTTAACGTCATCTGTTATAAAAACATTGTCATTTTCGGTACTTAGAGAATTCAACAATTTTCAACGCTTAAAGTTTCACCACTTATTTTTTGTTTTATCAAACGAGCCCACGGATAGGGACGAATCTTGAGAAAAGATGCTGGCAGGCCAATAAAGGCCAATGTTACTTAGCAAGAGTAAGAATTACCTAATAGCACATAATGATGGCATACATTGAACTTTAATTGTCATTTCATTCGATGTCATGTGCCTAATGACACTGTACACTCGTCTCCACTTCATTTGCTGACCAGAGTGCTAATATTTTCACCCAGACACATCCATTTGAGTGTTTTTTGGATCTTTTCTCCGTACTCCAATTGTCTTCTTTCATGTTGCCTTGAGTTTGAGGGGGATGTTAGATTATATTGGGATTACTCTTTCGGGCTAAGTTATTTGTAATTTACATTAGTTGTACTTAAGTCTAATTGTTTTTTTCTATACAGGTCTTCTAATCTTCATTTTTGTAATGTATAGGATATTACATTCCTCTCATTTTCATCACAATTCTCAACTAACATATTGAGCAAATACTTTGATAAACTCGAATACTAGTTAGATTGAAAATCTTGATAATGCAATTTCGTTTACTAAATAGAGGATATAAGGAATAAACAATATTGATTAGCTCAACTCTATCGTAAATTCATTAAATTTTGTCGCATAAAGAGAACGTAAGTAAAAAAATGTAAAGTATGACATTTGGTGTAGCTCTTTCTTCAGTCAGGATATTTGTTTATGGTTACATTGATGGAGTAACATTATATTTGGTTATGTCCTGCAAAGTTTCTACTAATGCAGTCTTAAAAAATATGATTTGACAGGTGGCTACGAGATTGAAGGTCCTTAATCTTTCGTATTGCCACTGGTTGACTGTAACTCCAGACCTATCAGCACATTCATCCTTAGAAATACTAATTCTTGAGGAGTGTGAGAATTTGAATTGGATTGATCCGTCCATTGGTCAACTAAGGCGTCTAAAGCACTTGAATCTAAATGGATGTTGTTCTCTCTGGAAATTGCCTATATTAGGTTCTCTGAAAGCTTTGACTGAGCTGTTCATGGATAGAGTGACCTCTGCACTAGAAAGTTATGAAAAGAATTGGTCATATGTAGAAGTCAAAGCTATCATGGATGGAGTGACCTCCGCACGAGAAAGTAATGGAAGCGATTGGCCATCTGTAGAGAAAAGTCTAGGCATTAGGCATGTCCCAAGCTCAATCGGAGCACTTTTGAATCTCGAGTGCTTGTCCATTTGTGGAGCTCCGAGGCTAACAAGACTTCCAGAATCAATTGGGTTGCTGAAATCTTTAGTTGAATTGAATATCTCGGACACAGGAATTATAGAGTTGCCTAGCTCGATTGTTCATCTAAAGAACTTGAAAGTCTTGAAGATGAACAGAAGTTGCATAACAAAGCTACCGGCGGCAATTGGGATGTGGGAGAAACTGGAAGAGATTCATGGAGAGGATTGTTCGGCATTACAGATGATTCCCAATGATGTTGCAAGACTATCTTTCTTGAAGATTTTCAAATTAACAGAAACTCGTGTGAAGAAAGTACCAGAGCTTCCCCCAAGTTTAATAAGTCTGTATCTCTCTTCAACAGCAGAAGTTCTGGACATGTCGAATCTGAGAAATTTGAAATTGAGTTTTCCCACGTCAACCTCCATCACAGCTTTGGAAATGGATAGAACTTACAAGCTATGGTGGATTGGGAAACTATTGAGACTGGAGTACTTAAGATTGGAACTTCCAAGCATCACCAGCATACCATCAGATTTGGATCACCTTTGTTGCCTGAAAGAACTTCTACTCGTCCGCTGTAAGAAGCTGCGGCACATTGGACTGCTTCCCTCTAGTTTGAGGAAACTTACAGTTTCCCACTGCAATGTTCTACAAAGTATAGATCTCTCCAACTTGCAGAAGTTGTTGGAGTTAAGTCTCAGTTTTGCGATTTCCTGTGTTCGGGGCCTTGAAGGTTTAAGATCATTACAGTGCCTGAAACTGTCGTCCTGTGAGTTTAGCGAGCTCAGTGGGCTTGAAAGTCTAGAGAAGCTACAAGTGTTGTCAATTGAATTTTGCCCCCTCCTTCATACATTGCCCAACTTATCTGACTTAAAATGTCTGAAGGACCTTTTTCTGTGGAGTTGTCGGAAACTGGTCGAGATTCAAGGTCTTGACAGATTGGAATCACTACAATCGATCACCATTGGAGGCTGTAGTTCCTTGCTAACTTTACCTGATCTATCCAATTTGAAGAAGCTGGAGTACTGTGACATTGAATGTTGCTCCAAAGGTAAAATCCCAGGAGAAGTATAGCTCAAAGCCATCGTGACCTTTCAGTCTGCCATAGTTGAAAAAGCTTGTAATCAAAGGAGTAGATAACATAAGGACTCCACTTTGTAATTATGTATCGCTAATAAACACGTGAATCATGATTAATCTGATCTATTTAGACATTATCTATCCTCCTCTTCCATTTTCTACGCATAGATCTATGAAAATCGTTAAGCACTTCATGCTGCAGATCTAGTCTATATTCTGCACTTAGGGCTTTGGCCGTAAGAATTATTTAGTTCCAACATCAGTTCTTTAATTTTATTTAGAAATAAAATTGGAGTTCCTAGGAGGTACACCACAACTTTGAATATTGAAAACAATGTTGGAGAATGGAATACTCTTTGCAACAGGGGCATCGACGCGACTCTTGTTCAATTGTAACGTGGAGCTTTGCAGTTTTGCCACATCATCGCAAAAACTCCGTTCTCTTTACCTTACTTAGGTGCTGCATGAAAACCATTCTGGTTCTGTCCAGAACTGATTTTTTGTTCCCAGAATCAGTTTTGGACCAAAAACCCGTTTGGTAACGCAATTTCATTTTTCTATTTCCGGGACAAGTTTGCTTCCAAAACTGATTCTGAAACCAGAAATGAGAACAAAAAAAAAGTTGGTTTTCATTTCTGGAACAAAAGTGAGAACCATTTCTGAGGAATTCATTTTCTTCAACACACATATTCATATGGAAGTCACGATCTTTGAGGTGAGAAAAAAAAGCAAAAAATCAAAAATTTCAAAACTTAAAAGAATGGTTTAGAATCTGTGGCTACCCATTTTCAGTGAAATTTAAATTTTTTTAGGTACCGAAAAAAATAAATAAAAATAAAAAATTTCAAAATTTCACAAAATGGCTTAGAAAACCTATGGCCACCCACTTTGAGCAAAATTTAATTTTTTTAGTTGCCAAAAAAAAAAATTCTAAAATTTAAAAACTTCACAGAATATCTTAGAATACCTGTGGCCACCCAATTTAAGCGAAATTTTAATTTTTTAGGTGCCGAAAAAATAAAAAAAAAAAGCAAAAAATCAAAAATTTCAAAACTTCACAGAATGGCTTAGAATACTTGTGGCCATCCACTTTGAGTAAAATTTAAATTTTTTTAGGTGTCGAAAAAAATAAAAAAAATAAAAAAAATAAAAAATTTCAAAACTTCACAGAATAGCTTAAAATACTTGTGGCCACCCACTTTGAGTGAAATTTAAATTTTTTTATATGCCAAAAAAAATAAAAATAAGAAAAAAATTAAAAATTTCAAAACTTTACAGAATGGCTTAAAATACCTATGGCCACCCACTTTGAGCGAAATTTTATTTTTTTAGGTGTCGAAAAAAATAAAAAAAATAAAAAAATAAAAAATTTCAAAACTTCAAAAAATGGCTTATAATACATGTGGCCATCCACTTTAAGCGAAATTTAAATTTTTTTAAGTGCCGAAAAAAATAAAAATAATAAAAATAAAAAACTTCACATAATTCTTAGAATACCTGTGGCCACCCACTTTGAGTGAAATTTAATTTTTTTTAGGTGTCGAAAAAAAAATAAAAATAAGCAAAAAAGAAAAATTTTCAAAACTTCACAGAGTGGCTTAGAATACATGTGGCCATCCACTTTGAGTGAAATTTAATTTTCTTTAGGAACCAAAAAAAATCAAAAAAAAATCAAAAATACCATTTGGGCATCTAAAAAAAATTAAATTTTACTCAAAGTGGGTGGCTAAAGGTATTGTAAGTAATTCTGTGAAGTTTTGAAATTTTTGATTTTTTATGTTTTTTTTCACCTAAAAAAATTTAAATTTCACTCAAAGTGGATGGCCACATGTATTCTAAGTCATTCTGTGAAGTTTTGAAATTTTTGATTTTTTATTTTTTTTTCACCTCCAAAAATTAAAATTTCACTCAAAGTGGGTGGCCACAGGTATTCTAAGCCATTCTGTAAAGTTTTGAAATTTTTGAGTTTTTGAATTTTTTTGGGCACCTTAAAAAATTTAAATTTCACTCAAAGTGGGTGGCCACATGTATTCTAAACTATTCTGTGAAGTTTTGAAATTTTTGATTTTTTGATTTTTTTTGGGCACCTAAAAAAATTTAAATTTCACTAAAAGTGGGTGGCCACAGGTATTCTAAGCAATTTTGTGAAGTTTTGAAATTTTTGATTTCTTGATTTTTTTTGAAAAAATTCAACAAATTTCCTATTTTCCCGAAATCTAAATTTTTTTTATTTTCTCAACATTTTGATGATTTTTTCTGGAATTTTTCAATTTTTTGGGATTTTCTGAATTTTTTTAAAGATTTTTATGAATTTGTCGGATTTTTTATTATTTTTATTCCATTTCTAAAAAAATGAATTTTTATTCCTGGAAATAGAATTTTCTGTTGTTTATCAAACGGGTTTTTATTTCAGGAAATAGAAATTTTGTGCTGTTATCAAACGGGTTTCTATTCTAGAAATAGAAATTTTTTGTCATTATCAAACGGGTTTTTTTTCTCAGAAACTCATCCAGGAACCAGAAATAGAAAAATCTATTTCTGGTTCAGGAACTCATTCCGGAACAAAATGGTTATCATTTGCTACCTTAGAAACCATTACGTTTCACATTAATTAGATAAAAAAAAGGTCAATTATACCACTAATCTAACATTTATGTTTCTAAAAAAGTATGTTTAAGATTCATCTAATATATGAAAAGCTGTGTCATTTCTAATTAATTACATATGTTGAATAATTAGTAGTTACTGAATTATATGTGTATTTTTTTATCTAAACTTAATTATATATGATCACTAACAAAAAATTGAAGAGTTTTTGCAGTCTTAATATTAAGGATTATGAGAATATATGTTCAGGTAATAATTAGTAGTTACTTACTGCATTTCTTTGTGCTTAGGTACTAAAAGAATTTAGGGCTAACTCACTTGAAAAGAGACTTTAGTCTCCTATCTGTGTCACTCAATGAGAGAAATCAGTGCAGGTTTATAGGTACGAGTGATTACAAAAAGATAGCAAGACGACAATTTCAATGTCTTTTGTCGGCAAAAAGGGTGGCGAAAATTAACATCAAATTTTTCTTTAACCTAGTTAACGATTTCCTAAATTTGTGGTTCTTCCCGGCTTGCTGCTGCCTAAAATAAAAGGGAAAGAGAGATTTTCAAGAAAAGCAAGGGCCCCTTCGAGTATGATATGTTATGCCTCTAGTTCGTCTCACGTAACCAAGAGAGGTGGAGACATTAAATCGTTAATTAAAGGATATTTTGCACTTTCATTTGCACCCGGCCTCTGGTCCGGTTTAGTACTCTTTAGCATTGGAGATCTAGAACTGGTCAAACCTATAGATCACCAGGTTCAACTGGTCAAACTGGTGGACAAAGCATAAGGTGCCATATTACTAAGGTACCCAAGTGAAGAATACATGAAAATTATAAGTAACTTATACAACAACATCAATAATAAAATGGGCCTTGTTTAAATGAAGATCCAATCTTTACTCGACTCTCGACATCCTAGATAAAGAATTGAATGAGATAGGATATGATAAAATAAGGCTTATTAAAAAAAATATTTGAGAGACGGTACAAAGTGTTTGTACAGTGTAGTAGCGTAATTATAAATAATTAGGCCAAGGGAAAACCATCAATTTTCTCCCCCTCCTTTTTAGGCTTTATGCGGCAATTGACATCTTTAGCCCTTACATGCTACTTCTAGGGTCATCACCAAATGACAACAAGTCCATGTTACCAAAAAGACATGAGAACCAGGTTTCTTTTGTGGGTCTTTGGCTCAAAAATACGTTGGGACGTACGGAACACCAAAAGACGGAAGAGACTCTCTTAATCGAATCCACCGACTTGGTTGGCCATTCCAAAAATATAGAAATCTGTCCATCGCTCGTGAACCTTCAAAATCCACTAAAAAGGACAAACAGCAGAACAAAAAGAAAGATAGTAAGGATAATTCCAGAGAGCGAAACTTTATTCGATAACTCAATTGTGTGTTACGACGAAATAACCTGGGTAATTGTAGCTAAGAACTTACGATCCCTTTGAGTCACCTTCAAGCAAGAAAAAAAGATACATCATCTATAATACAAAGTTCAAATAAATATCAAATTCCTCGTCTAGATAAAAGCAATCTTGAAAATATCCAAAATATATTTCCAGGATCAAGAAAATAAGAAGGGGTAATCTTGAAATCTTCGAATAGTAATTTAAAATATTCTCGACATCACTCGATCACCAACATGTCAACTTAATTTAAAATACTCCCTTATTACAAATAAGGGTTAATACCATGAAAAACCTCAAACTGGTACATTTGTAACAAATTTACTCCAAACTAATTTTTTAATCACCAAAAACCCTACATGTAACAAAATAGTTTTCGTTAAATTTTACCGACAAATTACTGAGTTGGATGACATATAATAATTGACGAGTGTACCAATTTAGAGTTTTACCCTTTATTTGTCATATGTGTACCAGTTTGTGATATTAATCCAATTTAATTGAAATTCAAAAATGATAAATTTGTCACAAATGTACCAGTTTGAAGTTTTTTATGGTCAAAAATTTAATTTGAGGTAAATTTGTCACAGGTATACCAATTTGAAGTTTTTGTTGGTCAAAATATTAATTTAGGTTAAATTTATCACAAATATATCAATTTAGAATTTTTTGTGATATTAACCCTATAAATAACAAGCCTAATTCTTACATGCCAAAAACAAAAAAATCCCCACCCACTCATAGGTCGCACCACATCTGATACTAGGCACTGGATCTCCATTGTTAAGCAACAATCCTAGAACATAAAAGAGTGTAATTTTTTGAACATAATATATCTAACAATCTAATCCACCTGTTGATTTGCCTCGCAGGGCCAATAGGGCACGTTAACCCAAGTCATTTCTCACGTGAACTTTTCTAGAAGTTTGGCTCTAACAGAATGGGTTCTGATCGCCAAAAAAAGAAAAAACAGAGAGAGAGAACAGAACCGAGCACACGAATACGCGCACGAGAGAATACGCTCGGAGGAGGAACCAATTTTTCCTCAAGATTT